GCACTCGGCAGAGCCCCCCGCCGCCTGCGAATGCGAGAGACTTAATTTCCGGGGGGTGGGGTGGGAGATGAAGTCTCCTGTGGATGTTTGAAGGCTCAGCCGTTAGGGCAGCAGGCTGCTCCCTGTGCTCCGGGAGCATCACAAAGGTGGCAGGAAGAGCAGACTGAAGGATAAGTTCACCACGAGCCCTTCTCTTGCCAGGAGAAGGCAAAAACATCCCCAGAAAGCAAAATACTGCAGATGAGGGAATTCTGGGGCTCCCACGTCATGCAATTCACAGGTGGAACCAGGTGAATAAGCACCTGTGGATGTGCTAGTCACATTCAAGCCATTTTTAACCCCTGTGGCAGTCACTTCAACTTGGAATGGGAGAACAGAGGGCTGTGGAATGTCACCTTGCATAAAACTTGAACTAGAGAGAGGATTGGACCACAGAAATGTTAGTGTCTCTGCAGCCAGTGGGGCTTTGGTGAGAGCTCCTCATTCGTCAAGTTACAGAACTATCAGAAGTGGTGAAGCTGACAGGAAGGGAATTGGCAGCCCCTGCAAATGCACTCAAGAGACAATTGCTCTTTAACTGCCTTTTTTCCAAAAACATTCTCCAATATCCAGCCATGCACAAAGATTTTATGAGCAGAAAGGGACTCTGTTCTACCATTACAATGCTGCTCAGTTGGCAGTGTTTATACTAAGATACCAAGGAAGAAAAACCCTCCTCTGTTCCTTCCACTCCCTACTCACCAGAAATACAGGAAAAGACTGAAAACCAACACACAATATCCCAAACCTCCTCAGAGTCCTTGTAGAAGAGAACCCTGGGGCTAAGAACAGAGAGGGAAGTTTTTACCAATCCCCCCTCAGTTCTTGTATCAAGTCTAACAGTCAGAGATGGAAATTCTGTCATTGCCAACACAGGTGAGCATGGAAAGGAAAATCCCAGAAAAGGACATTCCCAACTGTTTCAGGTTGCTTACCTCTTGCTCAGCAGTGTTACCAGCCTTCAGTTGTCACCATTTAGGATAAGCTCTGCCATCCATCCACCCAGTGATGGGCTGATACTCTTTTCTACATAGACTTCAGGACAACTCACTGTGGGTATTTAAAACTATGAAATGTTAGTAGGAGCTGTACCTCAGCACAGCTCAGCTGCAGCACAGAACCTTTCCCCAACCCAGTTCTGTGTTTTTACTTTTCTATCTAATGCTATTGCTTTCACTCTGTAACTGGATGGTGAAAAACCTTCCCTCTATAACTTCATGGTGGAAAAGCTTCATCACTTTGTGGTGAAACCATTGGTCACTGACTCAAAAAGTATCTTCCCCCTCCTGCCCTTAAAAAACTTTGCTTAAAAATACACCAACACTGCCAGGTAAACTATTTTTTCACATTACCTTGTCTTGTAAGAGATGAGCTGTGCAGTTCAATTTATAAGCAAGGTCTAACATAAAAGACAGTCTGGCCCTATTTTCTCCTCTGGCCTGCTGGGATTTGAGTCACAGCTACTGAATCTATTATTTTTGTGCTGGATCTAGGGATGCCAAGAGGTTTCTCTCATACTCCACTGACATGCTGGCTCTGGACTTCAAGCAACTCCAAGAAGTGACAAATTTAGTCTGTGTTTGAGGACACAGGATAAGCAGTCAAAATTAGAAACAAAGCAACATTGTAAATATAATCAGAAAAAAACACAATATGAATATAATAAAAGTGAAACCAATTAAGATGTTATTCCTTTTGGGAAAAAAAAAAAGGTTTTTAATGGTTTTAAAAACATTTCTGTACAAAAACTGCTCAATGACCAGTGTTTGCCTTTCATGGTGACAATACTTCTGACTGTTGTTCTGTTCAGCAGTAACTCCCACAGGTCCTGTAACAGGGACTATCTCTTTGGCCAGTGGTGCCTGGAACTCCTGCAAAAGACAGTTACAGAAGACTTTAATTCTTACTCTCAATTCACTCGAGATTCAAAATCTACGTTAGGTTACAACACTGCTGAGAAAGGGTCCTGATGCAGTTAAGAATCTTCCTTTCTCCAGTGCTGCCTTTACCTACTGTTGCTCTTTAATGACTAAATACACAAGGATCAAGCCTTGTAAGCTACACTTAAAGTCTCCATTCAGAATAAGAATGTTCACATTTGGCATTTCTGTTATTTACCTTCCTCCCAAGCTAGGCAAATATTCCCCCACCTCTACCCATTTTTATGGCCAAAAAAAGCAGCTCCTACATCTATCAACACAAACTTTTGCCTCAGCATTTCAAACCTTCCACCTAGAATTAATCCTGACTAAGCCCTTTTTTTTTCTTTCCTTTTTTTTTCCCTTCAAATTGACGTCAAGCTGTGCAATGAAGGTGAGCAGGTGTTGTGCAACCTCTTCCCATTAAACATGTGCTTAAGCTCCCACAGCAAGAGAGGACAATAGCTACTCTTTGCCTATAGCTCCAGGGCACAGGTGTGAAAAAAGCTGGGCTAAGAGCAAGGCTGACAACACACCTTTCAGCCTTCCCTGCCAGGTAGGACATGCTTCTGTTTCCAGACTGTTGAAGTTTGTTGGCTCCAGCAAATTTCTGCACAGAAGAAAAAAAACAAAACACACCACCACCACAGTGAGGTTCCTGGCAAATACAGTGTATTCCATGAGATTTATTGTGCTGTCAGGTCCCTTCAAGGAGCTTTTACACTGTGAGCTTTGTGTTTTAGAACTCCTTTACTTCACATGCACTGAATGCATCTGAGCAAGTGCTGTTCTGCTGGGCTAACCTTGATATGTGAGGCACAAGACTCCACTCACAACAAATCTTCCCCAGCCAGACAGCAAGATCTATACAGGTGGTCCAAAATTCACCAATCCAATTCTCTTTTTCTTTTGAAATAAGTTTTTAACTGACAGAGCAAGGGGGCTGCACAGGAAACAGTTTCCTACACTATCAGGCATAAACTTTTTAATCTTCTAAAATATTGGTTTTTTAGTGAACATCTCAGATGCTCCCTGGCAGCAGCTGCCCTCCAGTTCAATATGCAGGAAGGCAGAATGTACAGGGAAAGATGCTGAAATGCAATAAATGAGCTTCAAATTTATCATTAATGCTCAAGTGCCCAATGAGTTCATGGATGGGAATCCTGTTACTTCATGCCTGAATGGCCATGACATCACCCATCAGCACCCAAACACTGCACACATGAGCACTATGCAGGGGATACATGGGGGCATTTAGGCAACCCTGGTCTGCAGGGGTGACAGTGATGACACAAACTGCCCTGTGCTGGTCACAGGTTTCCCTAAGTATGTGTTTGATTGATTGTGTTTTCTTTCTCCAACCTCATTTATCATTAAATTAAGTAAAAATTGTTTGAGGCTGTTTTCCTAATAATGGTATTTGATGGAGAATGTGGCAACACACAAATCTGCCATGGCAGGAAATAAATGGACTGAGGGAGATTTCTGAGTGCCTTGAGTTTGGTGTTGGGAATTTGTGGTGTTGTGATCTAAGTAACATGCCTGTGAGGTATGGGGGTGTAGGTGTGAACAATGTATGAAGAGGTAAGAAACAAGAGTCTGAGGGGCCTCCAAAATGCTCTTCCTGAATGGGAAGAGGCTACAATACAAAGCATGAGCATGTGATTGGTAACTGCACCTCGGTACCAAGTGCTGTTAGGGAACATTCTGCAGATCAAGAAATAATCATCTGCCTTTCCCAGCAGTGTCTCCAGCTGGGTACATACTAACATCAACATTTCTGTTCTGTCTTA